CTACACGGTGTAAGATTAACAACGGCCCAAACCAGTGTTTTAAATCAGGCTTTAAGATAATGTATCAAACTTCATGCGCAAAATAAAATATACTACAGAAATATGAAAGCATTAAACTCACCGCTGGGTTTGAGTTCGCCTCCATGGTCGCCAGCCTGGGTGATACTGGTACTTCTTCAATATGACGGTTGTGTCACGTGATTAGGTGGATGTTGGAATCGGACATCCATTGCTAATGTCTGTGACCTGAAGTAACCTTGGCCATTTTTACAGCGAATTTTTAGACGCTGAATTTGAGACAGTGAATTTGAGCAAGTGGAATTGGAGGACAACGAAAATATTGCATTTGAATTTTGAAAAGTTGAATTTTTTATATGCTGAATTTTTTAACACTGAAAATTTAAACTGTGAAAAATATGTATATTGAAAATTTTATCACTTTGAAATAGGAATGTGAATTTTTTTAATAACTGAAAATTGCAACCATGTAAAAAAAATTACACTGAATTTTTTTTTTAATGTACAAATAATGACATTGAATTTTTTTTAGGTTAAAAATATATTCTGAATTTATTTTAATACTGAAAAAGTAAGCACTAATATACAACATTCAAATTTCAGAGGTATTTTTTATTCAAATTCTGATGGCACATATTTACTTCCATACATTGAGCTTTTTAAGTTATGCCAAAGCTTTAGCAATATAGAGGGAAACTGGATAACCTAATGAGTAAATAATTGGTATTGTTAGAAGTAGGCCTACTTAAGGGCTCAGATTAACTTGTCTGATTTAATTCTGATTCATATTTCCATTTTCCTTTAAGGTTGGATCGCTCTGATTTAAACAATTTAGACTCTAACACATAAAGTACCTTAAAAGATGTTTACAGACTTTGAACCTATTCAATAACATATTTTTTGTATTTTGTCAAAAACATTTTATATACCAGCACAAATCATGTTTTTGGGGATGTATTAACACATCTTGTTCAAATGTGTTGCTAACTGCCACATTGCTTAAGCTCAGTTAAAGGGGCTAGAGGAGGCTTGTGAAAATGTAAATTTTGTCATCTAACTCAATGGGATATAGGTCTTGAATTTAACTTGTTCATTCTAACATACATATAATTCAATCTAAATCATTCCAATGTAGGTCAGGTTGTAAGTTTTGGATTGTTGTCCAGATGGAAGGAAAAAGTCTCCTCCATCCTAAAAGCTTTAACAACGTCTGACAGGTTTGCTTTCATGGTGGTCCTGTATTTAGGTCTACATGTTCTGTACCGGGTAAAGAAAAGCTTGTTTTCAGCATGATACAGCTATTTCCATCTTTAACTTTGGTGAAGGCTTGTTTAGGGCGATGCGCGGATGAATGTTTAACATGGAAACCACAAAGTTTATTTTTAGTGAACATGCTGTGTCCCCATCCTGACGCGAAATACCTATCTTTTAGCTTTCTCCTTAACAATTTTCTAAATAGACCAGATTTGTTTGATGTTCAACTAGTATCTGTCCTGTGAACAGATTCCCCCACCTAACGCTAATTTATTCAAAATGAAGGGTCCTACTTTTGCTTTATCTACATAATGGGTTGTGTACTGCCATGAGAAATGTTCAAAGCTTAGGATTTTGGTTTGTAACCTAATTATACCTTTAAAGCCAAGTGTATCATATGTGATCCATTTTTTTGGTGATCTCTGCATCATTAGAGTGATATTTGAATTTGATATAAATTTTCAGTCTATAATTTCATGGTTAAGTTTCTGGCTGTCATCCAGTTCTAACTAGTGGTGGGAAGCACTGAGACTAATATCATCAATTATAAATCTTGGTGCTCCCCACCACTTGTTAGAACTGAAAAGGCCTTTTGGGTGAAATGTCTTCTAGAAACATCAAGTTGCCAAAACTGAACTTTTCAAGCTTGACCTTGACCTGGATGACTGAGAATCTTCGCAGATATCTTTGATTTAGTGAATCCTTGGAGTCCTTTGTAGATAGAGCCCTTCAATCACAATTATGTTGATAATCAGTTTTCTTTTAGTTCAGGTCTTAGCACAGTTGCATTTTTTTCTCTTAACTGAACTAACCTGGTTGCCATTTCACTGATCACCTCTCTGCAGATATATTTACCATGCATGGTGAGCAGGAAACATGCACCGCTGCAGAATGTTTCTGCTTTCAGTTTGTCTCTAAGTGTTGTTTAGCAGTTGAGACAACTGAAGGTAGAATGATGATGACCAACATCACTGAGCATAGTGCCAGCAAATCTAACCTGAACCCCTCAGTTTGTGTTTGTATTTGAAGAGCACAACATGCTAGCAGACTGTTTCTCTTGTGGTGAGTATCGTTAGCTTATATAACAGACAGGATTTCTATTGGATAGACATTTACACCAAAAATCTGATCATTGCAATAAAAACCTTCTCAGGGTCAAAAACATTAATCTCACTGCTGAAAGTTGTTCTTAACATGACTTTTAATTTATTCTTCAGAGAATTTAGAGACCTCTCTCACCAATCACCTTGGGATCCTCCGAAATGAGCTGAAAAGTGTTGCTGTAGAAAGAGGTGTTTAGGGTTCCAAGACTGGACCTGTCCAATATGACGATAAGGGCGAGACATTGGATGAATGAATGGAATATGAAATGATTAATTAACCCCAAATGGATAGAATGAGTTTTCTCGAAAAGTCAATTTAATGAGCTGACCTCTCTGATGGCTCAAACTTTGGCATATAATGCAGAAATCTAGCTCATATTTAATAGATTAGACTGCAATATTGTTATATGGATTGCATTAAATAACAGCTTAGTGTGAAAACTTTCAAATACCAGTACGAAGTAAATCATTACTTGCATGAAAAGCTGCAGTACAGTCCAAATTTGAAGTTTAGTTACACTGGCCATGAATGGGGTGATAACTGAGCTTTTAATGACACATTTGAACTGTTGTAACAACAAAAAAATCAGATAGCTTTTATGATGGGCAATAGGACAGAAGGGTCCATGGTTTATCTGAAAATGGCGAAAGAGAAATCCACCAAACATTTCTGTGAGTTTATATAAACAAAGCTGCATATATAATTTTAAGATTATATGGATACGGTTTAAACGTGTACACCTAATTACGGTTTTTACACTTTGTTAAAATTGATTTATAACATAATCTCTACATTCTAAAAAACATCCAAGTCTTCAAATGGATCACTAAAAAAGCCCAATGCATATAATTGCAATCAGTAGTCTAGTTGTTACAAAAAAAAAAAAAAAAAATGAAGGGGGGTGGTGGAAATTATTTATTTTTTTTATTTGGAAGATTTCATAACCTAATTAATATAGTTTATTAACCTAAAGCAATATGCATGGTATGTTTGTTACATGTCAGGTACGCCGGTCATTGACATTGACCAATGCACCTTACAGTAAAAATGCAGTCAGTCTCTGGACTGGCATGGCTATCACTGCCCCTACATACAAAGGGACAAATGCAGAGGACAAATTTCTACTGGGATCAGCTTAGTCATGGTAGGCCACTTGTTTGATTTTATTTATTTTGCTCAGGCTACTTGTAAGCCCACAGTCCGCCAAATGTTGAAAGGACAATATATGGTAGAGATTTTACCCATTCAGTAATAAAATGTCACAGAGGATGGTATGGGGGGGGGATGGTCATTTAAGAAGGGGAATGATGTTTAACATTTTTTTTAAGAAGGCTGATGCCATCCCCCCTCAACTCAAGTACTGACTGCAATGCATATGATAGGTGCTAGCAAACCTTTGACCATAACAGGTTCATTTATAGCACTTATATTGCAGGTTTGGGTCACCCTTATGGTTAATTGGAGGTTAGCTGGCCATGGCAGGCTCAAGCCATATGCAACCTCATTCTCCAGTTTTACTGTATTTTATTTTTAGGTATATGATTGTTATGGAAACACGTACTAAAAGTTACAGTCTTCTTTTTATTTTAGGGTAAGAGCATGAATGGGCATAGTACATTTTGTGTTTTGAAACTGATGGATGAGAGCGAAAACCATGCATCTTTGTGGGTTACATGAAAGGAAGTTGCCAACTGTCTCTGGGCAGTTTAGGATCTTGTGGGAGAGGAGAAATGTGTTGTTTCCAGTCAGTAAGAGGGAAACTGATGATGCAGCATGCAGAGAGGGAATGGGAATGTGATCTGTTACATAACTTGACCAGTTTTCCAACGTTTGGGTTAGAGTTGAATCTGTGAGTTACCAAAATACAGTACAAGACTATAAAATGGAGGAAATCTCAGATAGCAACGTTGCACATTTGTACATAAAATCCACAGCCTAAATTTAAACTAATTCAGAAAAAAAAAAAAAAATCACAAACGCAAACTCTCACAGGAGAACATCTGGAAGTTGTGGTAATCTTAAATTTTATGACATTGTAATAGTTTGTCAGTTCAAATATAAATGGACGGTAATGATCGAAGCAGCTGCATGCGCGTTCAGTCCAAATGCGTTCAAAAGAGTTGCTGTAAGAAACCCATCATGTAACTTGGCAGAAGGAAATATGTGTGGCCGCATGGACTTGTATGTGGATGCAACACAAGGGGGTGTTACTTCTTGCAAAGCGCATGCAAAAAAAAAAAAAAAAAAAAAAAAAACTCCCAGTGACTTCAGATCCAAGGAGGAGGTGATATCCATGGGAGCACGGTTCAAACTCTCACTTGGAGCGCAGCTTCAGCAGCCTTTCAGCCGCTCTTCTCTCTGTGCCTCTTTTTTTATAAATACACCAAAGCAGATGGAATAATGTTTGCCTAGATTTTTTTTTTTTGCTCTCTCTGCATTGGAAGAGAATAATATATATAAATATATGTTTTTTTTCTACTTTAGATGCTTATTTTACAACCTGAATGAGTGTTACCTGGGCATTATTAAAAGTTATCCTGGTGTTTTTCACTGCTGGGAGAGGATGCTTGTTCTTTAAAAAAAAAAATTGCAAAGATTTTATTGGTCCTGCATTAAAACTGTAACTCGATCTGCTTCTATTTTGCGCGCTTCTTTCAAAACTGGCTGAAATGGAGCGCACCGGATTAGCTGTTTTAATGATTTTCACTGTTGCGCTCATAAGGGTGAGCGATGGTGACCAAGAGGTAACAGGTGGGAGGACCGGAGCCAGCCAGGTGGTCCCAAACCAGCAGATCAGTCAGAGGAACTCTTCCAAAGCACCCTTGGATCCTGGAACCAGTGAAGGGGAACATAGGAGCGCGTCCGCAGCTGAAGCCCTGGTCTCCACGCCGCACCACAGGGCGCAGCGCACCGCCAGACACCCACAGAGGAGCAGAGTGAACCGTAGGCAAAACAGCAAGCCCGGCTCTTCCAGCTCAAGGCGACTGGCTGGGTAAGAGTGACAGCTTTCTGTCAAACGTTGTGTTTTCACCTCATGCGTATTCATACGATCAGGAATTTGAGTGACCTATTTTTACGCAGACAGCATGAGTCCGTTTATTTTGCTGTGCTGCGGTTGTGGCCCATTTGTTTGAATCTTTCTAAATGTAAGAGAAACCAATATATGATGTAACAAAACCCACATCATTTTTGTTGTAATAGTATCATATAGGCAAGTATTGTTCAAGATAATAAAACATTTTGTAGCTGCGAAATAGGTTTAAAACCCTTCAGTTTATTTGTGTGTGTGTAGTAAATACAAATTAAGCTTCAGTTAACAACCTTATCATAAAAAAAGTAAAATTGATTACAGTTTTCAATTTAGGGAAAGGCAAATACAAAATATCACATTATTAAAATGAATACACTGACATGGGAAGAGACTGCTGATTTGACAGCTGTCCAGCACATGGTGAAAATTGCTGTTCATAGGGAGTCATATTTTATGAAAATTTTGTGGAAGGAAAAAGTATTGAAAAAAGTTTAAAACCAATGTCGGAAAACTTCCACCTTTATGAGGATTGTCAACAAAGCCTATTCATAGGGAAATAATTACAAGGTGTGGGCTGCTTCCAACCTTAAACAACATATCAGGATGTCGGCTAGAGCTGTTGCATCCCTTCAGATGCTCCAGGAGTCATTATCAGGAGTTTCTTACCTGGTTTAGGAAGAAAAGAGGCATACTGCTCTTTGTTTTTACATGTAAATACATGGAAGATTAGAGATCAAAGCATTCGATTCAGGGAAGCTGAAGTTAGCCATTAAAGCTACCTGGGCTTTCTTTAGATTTCAGCAGAACAACAGACTTATAACTTTCATGCTCTAAGCATAACTACAGTATTTCATAAAATAGGAGTCCATACCAATTTGTGAGTGCATAAACTGTAAATCTTTAAAACATATGATTTTGTGTGCATAATATTGACAGGTTGATTTAAGGTTCAATGCTTTGCAGGAGGCTGGCTATATGTATTTAATGATAATACAGTTTATGGTATGTTCAGAAAGCTGTAAATGGTTTCTGATTCGGGTTAAAGCCCTATTCCTGCAGTGGCTCTGAAACATAATCCAGACAAAAGCTATGGACATGCTAATTACCTTTACCCCAGGCTCACACCGACTCCGGTCTTACCGTTGCGGTGCGGTGGGTGCGGCGCCGCAGTGATTCCAAGTCATTAAAAAGACGTAAACCTCTCTTGCTGGCTGCTGAGCTGTCCGGCTGCGGTTACCGAGACACTCCGGCGCTGCAGAAAATTCCGCAAGAAAGCTATCCTTGCGGCGTGCCGGAGCCCTCCGCAACAAGCTCTCGCAAAAATCCTTTATTTGGGCCGTGTTATCGCGTGAAGTTACGTGAACTCAAGTGAACTTCTGTTAAATCTCCGGACCTGTTGCCGGAGCCGCAGAGCCGCACCGCACCGTAGTCAAAAGGGCGGTGTGAGAGGGGGTGTGCGGGAGTTGCGGTCTCCGTCGGCTCGGTAACTGCACCGGAGCCAGTGTGAGCAAGGGGTTACAGCTTTCATCACTGCCCTCTGCAGGGCCTTCTTGATTTATATATGAACTTGAGTTATGTCAATTTGTGCAAGAATGAGCAGATGGTGTGAAGACGAAGGGACCATCTGTGTGAGGGATGTTTGGTTTGGGATTATCACACTGTCTCCACTACACCTTTCTGTATAATTACACAAATCATAGTAATACAGAGGCAGCACTTCTGTTCTCCGTGTGCCCCTGTTTCTGTGTTCTTGCTGTGACCATTTATTAGAGCGGCTCAGGCAGAGCTTTGGCTCATGAGCATTTGCAAATTCGCACCATGATCAGAAACACCTGTTTCTCCAGTGGCTCTTTTCTTTTTTGGTTTCTGTTTAACTCTAAAATGATGATGGGTTGTTTCCACAATGGAGCACTTTTCATTTTGTTAAATGAAGCCTTCTGTATCCTCTCTTGCATGTTCCACAGGGACATGGCTTGAACCCAGTTGGATGGTGAATATTTATATAATAATCAGAGAGGGATTATAATGGCTCACCTTAGGCTGCAGACAGTATATTATAAATGTGTCACAACGGGGCTGTTTTTGCTGAGGAAACTGATTATGTGATCAAGTTATCAGAGTTTCATTTTTAACAGCTAACAAATGGATTTAACTAATGGGAAGAGGATAAACATCATGCTTAGTTTCTTACTAAACCTTGACAGATGCCAATAAAGCATAGACTCAGCCATGTGATTCTCATTCTCATTGAAGATAGTTTTATGATATAAAACTTCAAATGGTGAAACTAATGTTATTTTTTCTCCAGTCTTGTATGAAGATGGTCCACTTCCCATCCAGGAAGCTTTTTCAATTTAAAAAATAATTTTTGACTATGACCTGGATGACAGAGAATCTTCACCAGCATTCTTGTTATTATACATATGAATTGATTGGTTTCCAGACAGGATGATAACAAAAACTTACCTAAAAGATGCAAAAACTTGAATTTGTTTTTTTTTTTTGATCTCATCTACACATTCCAAGGTCCTAATTAGAGTTACTATCCTGCAACTATGATGCGGCCCTTCTCCAGCACACCTAATCAAGCGGCTGAATTACCTCATTAAAACTTTAGCCCTTCAGCTCTGCAGAGAGCTGGCAACAAGCTAAATGTGGGATATGGTTGTGCAGTAGCAGGGATGCAACTTAACGTTGCAGGAGAGTAGCTATTGAGGACTGGCCAGAATGTTACAGGCATAAATACGGACATTACACTCTGACTAATATTAACAAAAAATGCAATTGAACAAAAAGCTTTCTTTTGTTATCTGTTAGATTCTGCCTGGATTGCTAGCACATTTTTCTTTTGCATGATCTTTTTATATTCAGCCACATCAATGTTTATTGAGGAATGAGCCTCTTGCTCAACACTGCCTTAGCATTTGAATGGGATTTAATAGCTTATTTTTACTTGACCACTAAAAATCCTTAATTTGGTTGTTTTTAAGGTAATCAGAGGTGAAAAAACAAAGTGGGAGTCACGGTTATGAAATTATGGCAAGTCAGATTTGCTTGTCCAGATTCTGTGGTTGCAAATCTTCCCCATGAACACCACTGTGTTGGAATTTTGAAATGATATTTGTTTGTTTTACGTCGCATGTATAAAGACAGACAAAAGATTCACTTTATTCTCCTCACTCCATAGAAAACTTTTTCAAAGCATCAAGGTGTTTCATTTTTTTCTTTTCTTTCCGCAAATCTTTTCACTAGAGTGGTTTTCAATAAGTACCTGTCCCATAGATCCAAAGTTACTCTCTTTGGTGGATGTTGTTCTTGCTTTTTGTATCCTCCTCAATGAGTCATTGATGAACTCTTGGAGTAATTCAGGTAGGTCAGCCACTCCTTGGGAGGTTCACTAGCTTTTTCTGTTGCACAGTCAAAACCATAAACGAAATTAGTGTTCTTTTCCAGACATGTAGAGAGCAGTAACTTTGCGTCACATCATCTTTTGAATATATTTAGAGCGAAGCATTACATGTGGGCTTTTAGATAATTTTGTTAACTTGTTGTTGTTATGCAGAGGCATCCTAGTGGTTAAGGCATAGCGCTTGGAATTCAGAGGTTCTTAGTTCGAGCCCCACTCCCATAGGCTGCCACACTTGGTCCCTGAGCAAAGACCCTTAACCCCACACTGCTCCCCAGGAGCTGCACAATAACAGCCAACTGCTCCCCAAGGGGATAGGTTAAATGCAAATAGTTCATTTCGTTGCTCTGTAGTGGGAGAATACTATTTTTTACACCAATAAGTCATTTTGAGTCTCTTTTGAATAAAAAAATATATATCTATATTTTCACCGATGCGTATTACTATAAACTCCATTCATTTTTATGAATCCATGTACATTTTATGCATGAAAGTACTGTCACCAGCCATCTATTTTCCATCCAACATGCCTAAACTCCTAATTATAGCGTCCCCACTTATAATTGTCTATTTTTACCTTTATTCAAAGTAAACAATTTCCTCATTATTATATGCAGCATGCTTTGCTGTAGCATTTGGGAAGCGCTTTGCTTGCTTCTCTACCTAAAAAAGCAGAGGATGAATGGGTTTCTTTTAGTCCTGGGGAACCATAAAAGAAGTGTTGCATAAATCTGGGGAACACTGCCTCATAGTAGTCTGCACGGTAAGTTTTATGGATCGTATTCAAGCGTTTTCAGATGAATCATCTGCTGCCAGTTAGCAAAAGTGAATGTGTGACACATTTCCTCTCGGAGTTCTCACTCCTGTTTATTGGATTCACTGTACTGGCATACCAGGTACACTTAACCCTTAATTACATCCAAGTTCACTCAGATGGACTTTTTATTCTGGATGCTCTTCACAGATTTGAGATTTATTCTGATAGCCTTTCACCAAAAATGAAAAAAAAAAGAAGAATTCAAAAGGTGTAACTGCTCATATACATACTTTTCATGGGGCCTAGTAGTAATTTAGCATTAGCGTCTCTATTACATACAGAAATCCCTTGATGGAATTTGAATGTGATGACTGATATGTTTGGCACGGGCTTGGCCTGATGTGCTTGATTAATGACAAAGCTAAGCTTGCCAGAGGGCCCAAAAGGCTGCATGTTATCCCTATGACGCCTCAGGAACACTTGCAGCATCTAATAAGTGCAATCCATCTGAGGTCAATGAGTCAATCCCTGTTATCTTCTCAAATCACCATGAGTCAGACATCCACTTACTGTAATATCTTGTGAAAGGATGATGGGGCGCAGATCCATCCCAGCACGTTAACTGCTGCTCTGGAGTTGCCTTTGCGGTCTGGTGCCTTTTTAATCTGCCTTGCTACAAAAATTTGGCCTGGGCTACAGGTGCGGATTAGAGGGTGCAAAGAATCCAGTTCTGGCTGTTTAAAACTTGCCATCTCTCATTTGCTGAGTGATTTATAGAAAATGCGAAGTGTTTTTCATGTCCCGCGTGTCTCACATAATCCCTGCAAGGCTCAAATAACTCTGTTTGTGTTCAGTTTGGATTTCCATCTAACAGAATGGGGACTTGTTGGTCCACAGTAAGACAGGGCTTTCTGAAAAATTATTAAAAAGAATTAGGTGCAGCTGATTCTCTGAGGTGTTTTTATCCACAGGCCAAGTCATACTAGAAGGATTAGAAATTACACCAGCTTTATACAGAGACATTGTTTCGTTAGAGAGTTTTCTAATTCACACGTATCCATGAACTCTTGCCTCACAGTGAGAAGATGCAGTCTGTGGCCTATCTGTCTGAAGATTGTATGTATTTTAGATTTCATGCATGTTCCGTTAATTGGAGTTTCTAAATTGCCCCTAGGAAAGAATTATATGCCTATATGTTTCTATTTGTATCAGCAACCAGTCTTTGATTGACTGGCGACCTGTCTTTGGTGTCCTCCACTGTCGTTTATTTCAACTCTGGAGATGGGCTTCACTGCCCTGACCATCTTAAACAGGAACAACTTTGAATGCAAAGTAGATGGAAGAATTATTAAGAAAGTTTTTCTTGATAATTACCATCATAATCTCACTTTACTTTTTTCCATACATGTGTTTTTAGCCCAAATGTCTGTGGAGGACACCAGTGCTGCTCTGGTTGGGTAGTGGCTCCAGGAACCAACCGATGCATAAAACGTAAGTACTTTTAACACTCTTGTATGCTACATGCAAACTTTATATCCTTTAACCCTTTTTGTCTAGAAAATGCCAGTTTGCCATTTTGTCAATAGTATAAACAATTCTAAAGTTTTTCAAACAAATCATAAAGTTTCAAACTCAAAAGCTTACGTCTTTTGTGGGGATCTTTGTACATTTTTCCTCCGAAAACAACTATTTAAAGAGTAAACTGGGTATTTTTGTTCAGCTCACTAAGTTAGAACCACCTTTTGCTGCAACTGCCCCTCCAACCATTATTTCAGAGGATATGTTTGGGTCTGCACAGTGTGCAGTGGGTAACACTGCTGCCTTGCAGCAAGAAGGTTCAGGGATCTATTCTTAGACTTAGACAACTTTTATTGTCATTTTGTATACACAGAATGTCTACAAAATGAATTTTCATTTTGTACAGCTTTCAGATAGTAAATTTGTACAAAAAGAAATTTCCCTGCATTCTTACTGCATGGAGTTTGCATGTTCTCCCTGTGCATACGTGGGTTCTCTCCAGGTACTCCACTTTCCTCCCACAGTCCAAAACCATGACTGTTTGGTTAATTGGCTTCTCTAAATTCTCCTTAGGTGTGATTGTGTGCATGAATGGTTGTTTGTCCTGTGTGTCTCTGTGTTACCCTGTGATACACTGGTGACCTGTCCAGGGTGTACGTCGCCTCTCGCCCATTGACAGGGATAAGCGCGACAGAAAATAGATGAATGGATGTTTTGGTCAGTTCTTCAATGCCAAATCCTCTTTCTGTTCATTGTTAAATCCTCTACTAGCTCAGCCTGCTAGTTCAGATGTATAGTCATTTGTTTTGTAGGGTTGAATTAGTGGATAGATCTAATTTTCACTCCCAATCACAATTATTTTATTTTGTTCACATATACTGCATCGAATCAGTGAATCAGTTTGTCCTTTAACGCATACAGTCATTAAAGATCATGCCGTCTGAATTTATGTGAATGAGTACACTAGGGTTGGTCACTGCATGTTATGTTTGCATTTTATGTTTATGGTCACCACAGTTTCCTGTAGACTCTAATTACAGATTGCAATCACAGCTTTTTTTGTGGTAAAGGCTATTTTAAAATTTTACAAGTCAAAGGATAACCCCTACACTGCAATGGAAATCTCTGTGTATCAAGAGGGAATGTGTTTACTGTTTCTCTCTGCCTTTTTGGTAATGATTTCCTCTTCACACATGCAAACACTTTTCACACACACTTTCTCACTGGTCAATTACACAACAGGGTTGAGTTGCCCGGCAGTCTTTCTATCAGGTCTGCTTCCCTCCTGCTCGATCCACATATTGCACGATCACGCTTGATTGTCATGCTGCACAGACTGTATGTTACATTCAACATAAATTCACATACCGAGAGAGAAACGTTACTGTTACAGAGCAGGAGAGTGCATTTTAGCAAGCAAGGGGTCCAAACCATCTGGCCCCCCCTTAGAGCTTGACCCTCACCAAAGTCTGTCTGGAGGCTATGTTATCCACTTCTGAAATAGGTCCACAGCTGGCAAGGTGCCACTGAATGGAATAGTGACTAGAATATCTGTCTTCTGTGGAGGAAAGTTTTATTCGGCTACTGCCTTAGACCCAGGATGCTTTTTAAGGAGATAGCAGTGTAAGACAAAATGTACAGTAGGGGAAAGAAAAGGAACAAATCTGTCTCTCATGAGACCCCCTCCCATTTTCAGAGTTATTTAAGAACTTCCTACTGAGGAGGATGATGTAATGTCTAACATCCAAAGTGTCAGCTGGAAGCTTTATAATGATACCTTCCTATCCACCTGGGTTTGGCTAAAAAAGAAAAATATAAAAGGAACTGGATTGTTATTTTCTACCCAGGAAGCCTGCTGTTGTTTCTATTGAAACACATTAAGCAAAGAAATACATCCGTCTGCGTGGGCTGATGCTGAAAATATTGTTGTTGAAACCTTGCCGCTGTCCATGTCCTGACAAGTTGAGAATAGATGATTACCAGCCCTGTATGTGTATAAAATTAAGTTCTGAAAATAGCCAGTGTTGCCAGTTACAATGAAGGTTTAATTTCCTTTGCTTTATTTAACTTTTCTGTCCTCTGGTTAAGTTACAGTCCTGATTAAAGATGAAAGTTTAAAAGTTTAAACATTGGCTTGAAAAAAAAAATCAGCATTATTGCACATTAATTGAACGTTTTGGCTTGGTCTTAAGATTTTGTTTCTTAAATCACCTTTTTTCTGAGAACATCAATGAACCAACGTCATTATGAAAGCGTTGGGATACAGCAGACAGGTTAGGGAAATTTAGAGTTTGCATTTGAAGAAATATATTTAGCCCCAAACTTCTGTTAATTTACATCCTACATCTGAAAATGGAAAAAGTATATCATAACAGCAAACATACCAAGACACAATGGTCATCTCACACAGACCGACCAGACAAGGAGAGGATTAATTTATAAAGTAAAAAGCTCTGGGTAACTTTAGATGAGCTGCAGAGATCTACGGCTCAGATGGGAAACCATGTACAGGTATTGCTATTAGTCATACGCTCCACAGATCTGGGGTCTCATTTATAAAACATTGCCTGGAATCCATGCTAACATTGTACATACCTCAATGTCAGTGCCAGCATATATCACACTGCAGTTTCAAGTCTGATGTAGTTGATCTATGAAAAAAGTTTCAAGTTAACTGAAATTCAGTGGGTGAGAGAAATGATGATGCAACCTGGCTCTGGTTCCCCACCCGTCAACATCTGTGTCACCAATTTTCTCCTCTCTATAAAACATCGTACCACTTTGCATTAGGGCAGCGCATTTTCAAGCCAAGTTTGTCTTTTAGAATAAAATAGAATAGAATATAACTTTTTTTGGTCTTATTTTGTGTGTATGCAAGCAGTTTTTTTTGGAAGGGTGGCAAGAAGAGGGCTGTAGATAAACCATTAACCGTCCTGTTTACGGTTTTTGGCTTGGGGCAAATGTGTAAGAAAATTGCTCTGGTCAAAACTGAACTTTTATGCCTTGATTAAAAAAAAAAAAATCAATAAAAATAAATAAAGATGAAGATAACTGTCCAAACCCTTAAAAACACCAGGTTCAAATGTAGTGGTGCCAGCATCATGTTGAATGGATGTTTTACTTCAGCAGTGGGAGGGAAGTTTGTCAAAGTTGTCAGAGAGATTGATGAAGCCAGACATATGGCAGTGGAGGGGGGGTGGGGGGGTGTAAGGGCCTGCAAAAGGTGTGGGAATAGAGCTGAGGTTCACCTTCCATCAACTCCAAAGCCAGTAGGACACACCACAGCTAAAATGAAATGCATTAGATCAAAGCATGCACTATACATTTTGTGGTTGTGATGTGACCAAATTTAAAAACTTTAGGAAGTCGTTTCAAGTTTACCAAACTGCTGGTAGGTTTTATAATAACAGATGGTTTAGAAACAGGATTTCTTGCAATTTATAATGATGTTCATATCCCTGTTTCAAATACAAACTTGTCTGAAAAACTGCAGATGTCAGTTCATGATTAATTAGATAACATTAATCACACAATAAGGTTTGAATATACTTTACCCTGCCGGTAATGGTTAGCCATGGTATGTTGTACAGGTGCCAAAACAGTAATTATCTAAAATGAGGAAGAGGAATGTTGGTTTACTACCAGCAGATTTTCTATCAATGGGCAGTTTATGTTGGAAATGGCTCCTGTTTACAAAATAGTAAGTTACTTAGAGGTGGAATTGGAGTGCAAGTTTGAATATTTTGCCCGTTTGATGGTAAATACAGCAACCATCAATTATGTTCCTGTGCATCTGTATTTAATTACCGCTGTGAACCTTTAGTTTACAGTGCAAAACAATTACATTAGAGGCTCTTTAGGCCCCTTTACACTAAAGTAATTTGAATCTGATTGGTCTTTTCTCATTTGTTTGCAGAAAAAAAAACATAATATCTTTGTTCTCTTGAATGAGGCTTTCAGTCAATTAAGCATTTACTGTGGGTGATATCACCAAGAGATGTTGCAGTATCATTATACATTATCTTAATTACTATTAGCCACTGATTCAACTTTGATTATGTAAGTAGTTTGGGATTTTATAGTCTGGGCAAATGGTTTATGACTTTGACTTAATAAAATAGGCCCCAAATCTTTACATCTTTGATCTAATTTCATTCTCATCAACAGATTGTGTATTTTTGTTAGATTCACATCTTTTTAAGATTCCAGTTACAGTTTGCAATGTTTTCTTTGTCAGGTAACTTTCTGTCGCGAAAATGTGGATAGCTAAATTGGTAAATATGTTATCATGTGTCTTATTTTCGCTGAACAATGCTCAGTCAAAAGAGGTAGGAAGTAAAAGTAAGTAACAGTAGGTTTATTGCTAAGTATAACATTTAAATGATCTGTTTTGCAAACTTTTTGGGAGAAATTAGATCAATATATATATATATATATATATATATATATATATATATATATATATATATATATATATATATATATATTGCCTGGTCAAACAAGGTCTGTGTCAATTGAGAAGGTACCAAGAGGACAAGTGGGCTAGTGGAACACAGAAAACATGGACTCAAGAAGTTAATAAGGCAATAGTGGAATGCTACTCCAGTAAGCTTGGTCAACAGGGTTTTATGAAAAGCCTGTGGGAAACGTAGACTCTTTGATACCCACAGTTTAAACTAACAGCCAAACATCTAGTAGCTCAGTGTTCCAACATCCACAAACGGCAGCTGCTCTCAACACTAGTGTGCCAGGAGATACAACACACAAAAACTACGGCAAGGGGAGGCCAAGACACAAAGTCAGATGGAGGATATAACATTAACCCCCTCAGGGATTCCGTACCAAGCCCCAACATGTAAGAACAACTAAATAAGAGACATCAGAGGATGGCTAAATTAAGACCCTGTCAACCCCAACATCAGCCAGCAAAATTAAACAAAGTGCCCCAGAGGATCTCTTCAATCATGTGAATA